TTCTGAGGCTACCGTAACTCCACTTTTATTAAACTAAATTTTCCCAGACTATTGGTGCGTGCCCTCGCTATTCCGCCATCTTCTCTGTTCATTTCTAAGAATGTTTCTTGTTTAAAAAAGCTATCCTGTCTGATCAATGTTTAGATATATTAGCATTTTATCAATATTGATTTCCTGCTATAAATTTTCATCCTTTTATTTTCCATCTGTTGTATACTGAAGTGTAGTATTGTATTTTAAGTAATATAAAGTTTATGTATGTGTAATGTTTATCTTTTCTTTCATAAATGATTTTATTGTATGTATTTAATGTATACAAAATGATTTTTATATACTTATACAGAGTGAAATGGTTACCAAAGAAAGCATATTAACATATACACTATTGTATATAGTTACCTTTTTTTTTTTTTTTTTTTTTTTTACAGGCAGAGTGAGTGGACAGTGAGAGAGACTGAGAGAAAGGTCTTCCTTTTTTTGCCGTTGGTTCACCCTCCAATGGCCGCTGCGGCCGGCGCGCCGCGGCCAGCGTACCGCGCTGATCCTATCACAGGAGCCAGGTACTTATGCTGGTCTCCCATGGGGTGCAGGGCCCAAGCGCTTGGGCCATCCTCCACTGCACTCCCTGGCCACAGCAGAGTGCTGGCCTGGAAGAGGGGCAACCGGGACAGAATCCGGCGCCCCGACTGGGACTAGAACCCAGTGTGCCGGCGCCGCAAGGTGGAGGATTAGCCTAGTGAGCCGTGGCGCCAGCCCAAGTTACCTTTCTTTTGAGTGTTTATTTGTGATATAATCTTAAATATACCCTCTTAGGAAATTTCCAGTATATAATACTATAAAGCTCATGTTATAATTTACATATCTAGATGTACTCATCCTACCTAACTTCAACTTTGTACTCTTTGATATTTATCTCTGTATTTCCTCTTATTCCTTACCCCTGGTCACTATGATTCTGTTTTGTTTCTGTGTATTTGGATTTTAGTTTTTTAGACTCAATATGTGAATATTATTATTTTTCTTTCTGTATTTGGCTTATTTTACTTAGCATAATATGTTCCAAAGTAATCCATTTTATTTTTGTTATAATGTTTAATCCATTTACATTTAATGGACTTTAGTGATATTTTTGAGTTTAACAGATACAGCTTACCTTTGTTTTGTATTTGTTTTATACATTTTAGATTCAACTCTGTATTATTTTCTGCACTTTCATTTAAATAGAAGGAAGGTGGATGATTTAGATACATTTTTTGCTCATTTTAAATAGATGTTTTCAGAAGGTCATAAACTGATACTTAGTTGAGATATTTCAGATAATACAAGGAAATTAGTGTTCATACAAATACATATAGAAAGCATAATTTTCATGAAAATGACAAAGATGATCAACCAAATAGTTACAGAATATCAAATATCAAATGTTTATTATTCTTTCAGAGAGTAAGCTTAATGAGCATAATGACAGTAACTGATTTATTAAATGCACTGTTGGATAACACATAACTTGGTTATTTTTGAATGAATGACTGAACAATTGAATAAATGAACTGATTGTAGCTAAGGTATACTCTGAAGAACAACTCAGTATAGTAAGAAGTCTAAGATCATACCTTGGGCTTTAAACCATGAACTTAAAGTAACGCTAATGATTTCTGGTTTTCAGTTCACTCATCATGGGGTCATAGTGAGGTTTAATAACATAAAAGATGTCCAATTATCTTGAGAGTATAAATTTCTAGAGACATTTGTTTATTGATATTAGATAATATATGCTGCAGCAATTTTAAGATGTATTATTTTACAAGACCTATTTACATTGTTCTAGTACTAAAAACAAAAATCTTTTCATTTGAATATTAAAATATACTTTTAATATTTAGTTCTTAGATTGTGAATTTTTAGGACAAAAAATTGTACCATTTTCTGCTTATTTTAAGGAGAGTAATTTTATTTATTTTTATTTTTATTTTATTTTATTTTTTAATTTTTTTACAGGCAGAGTGCACAGTGAGAGAGAGAGAGACAGAGAGAAAGGTCTTCCTTTGCCGTTGGTTCACCCTCCAATGGCCGCTGCGGCCGCTGCGCTGCGGCCAGCACACTGTGCTGATCCGATGGCAGGAGCCAGGTGCTTCTCCTGGTCTCCCATGGGGTGCAGCGCCCAAGGACTTGGGCCATCCTCCACTGCACTCCCTGGCCACAGCAGAGAGCTGGCCTGGAAGAGGGGCAACCGGGACAGAATCTGGCACCCCGACTGGGACTAGAACCTGGTGTGCTGGCGCCGCAAGGCCGAGGATTAGCCTAGTGAGCCACGGCACCGGCTAGGAGAGTAATTTTATTAAGTATTATATCCTTTATTATACCTCTCACCTTTGTTAAGTGGAGAACTATAGAGGTTAAAAGCATGTTGCTTCAATTCAGATTTCAACTGTAGCTTTCATTTGCTTACTAGCTGTTTAACTTTTTTTTTCTGTGCTTGGTTTTCTCACATGTAAATAGAGATAATAATAGTGCCTTCCTCATTGTTTTGAGAAAGGTTATTACAGTAGGGGTCTTCAAAAGTTCATGGAAATTGTGCATTATGAAAAAATCAGGCATGGATTTCCAAATTTTTTTGTACCATAAAAAATTTCCATTTTGAAAGAACAATCCTGCTTATTGTCTCATGTCCTAAACAAATCTGCATTCCACTCATTGGACTTTTTGAAAGGGAGGATAGAAGTATTATAAAAACAGGTACAACATACATTGAATCTCATATGTACTTAAATTTTTACTTAATTTACTGATTGACTCTGTGGATTCTTAGCTTCTGGTTTAAAAATGTAATTTGCACTTTGAGATAAAGGTTTCTGTGGGTTGATTTGAAGCTTTCGCGTTGTACCCCAGTAATCCTGCCTGTATTCATAGAAATTTTTGCCTATAAAATAAAGGAACTATGGCAATTCAATTAAAAACTTGCTTTTAATTTTATTCTTATATAGACTTTTTATAATGCCCTCTGTTATAATATTAGTATAGAAGTAAATATTCATTTTTCTATTTGTATGATCCTTAGTTTATAGTTAAGAAACCAGGTTGGAAAACTAAGTGAATTTTCCAAGATAACTCAGTAAGTGGCAGAATTAAAACTAATATGGCTCTTCTGACTCCAAGGAGATTTAGTAAACATTTTTGGATGATAGCAAAAAGACAATTTAATTGAGAAATCCCCTTGGGAATTCTGGGTACAATTGAAAGTAGAAAAATTAAGATGAAAGTCTCTGGCCCTAATTATTTCATATTTGTTCTTTTATATCAATGGAAGTTTTTAAATATGTTTATATCTAACTGGAAGTAAGTGTTCCAATTCTGGAAGGAGGAATAAATCTATCTTCTCAGGCCAAATTTTCATAACAGATGAAAACAATCTGAAATTCATTGATATGGTTTGGGAGTAGGAATGGTTATCTTACTCAGTTGGATCACTGCCTGATCAATCCTTAAATCAGGCAGTCAGTGTTACAGTTGAAATAACCTTAGAAGTTAAATAACTCAGTATTTTCATTTTGTGTGAGAAACCCTGAGAGGGTAAATAACTTACCAGATTGAACTAGAATCTAGGTCTGCTGATTCCTAGGCTAGGACTTCATCCATTTACAACACAGTGTGCCTAGAAAAGCCAATGCATACCAGTAAGTACCATAGGAAACAGTGAATGAATATAAGGCTAAAATTCAATTTTGAGTGTTTTTTTTTTTAAGAGCCAGACTCACTAGAGTTCATTTTAAAGCAAGATATTGCCTTGCTCTTTAATACCATCACAATATCTAACAATCAACAATGGCTTTGATGTTGTCTAGTCATTTTGACACTTCTTTAGCTGTTGATTATCTGTTTGGGAATTCACCAGATTCTTTATTTTTTCCCTTAGATTTATTTTATTTACTTGAAAGGCAGAGTTAGAGAGAGAGAGAGAGAGAGAGAGAGAGAGAGAGAGATATGGACGGACAGACAGACAAACTATCTACTAGTTGACTTCCCAAATATCCACAAGAGCCAGGGCTGGGACAGGCTGAAGCCAGGAGCCAAGAATTCTATACAGGTCCCGTTCTCAGGGTGGCATGGCTCAAATACTTGGCCATCTTATACTGCTTTTCTCAGGAGCATTGGCAGGAAGCTGGGTCAGAAGTGAAGTAGCTAGGACATGAACTGGTGCCCATATGGGATACCAGTATTGCAGGTGGTGGCTTAACCTGCTGTACCACAGTGCTGGCCCCCACCAGATTCTTTAACAATTTTATTGTATCCTGATATTAACATTTTGGGTAATTCACTGTTCATTAGAATATTGGAGAAAGGAGAGAAAAGAATGGATATGATACAAGCTTATATATATTTTTTTTCTGTAACTTAGTTCTGTTTGTGGAGAAAATAGAAATTAAGTTTCATGATTATGAATTGAATATTATTATTCTTATGTAACCATTACTTCTAATTTTTTGCTTAAAACCTAACTCTACGTATTCTTTAATAAGTTCTGATAGAAGTTTGACATATAACAAGGACAGTACCTGTTGTGAGAATTAAACAAAATCCCATGTATTAGAGGTAGTTTGTTTAGCATAAAGCTCAATATAATATACATAACATAATCATCCTCAGTTTTCTAACTGGGAAACTGAACTTTGAGTTCTTCTCTTGGTTTATTTAAGCATAGGATCCATCTAGCACCCCAATCTGTCAAAGACATTTGTAGCACAAAGGCTCTGGGTCAAAAGGGCAAAGTTGCATGTATCACAACTTGGACTAGCTTAAAGCCTTCCTACACTAAGCTGCATTCAGCCCTTACACTGGGCTGCATGCAGAGCTGGAAGGAAGCCTTACAGATTGTGAATACTTAACCTACCCATACTAAATGATGACGAATGCCACTGTAAGAGCTCATAATAATTAAATGTACATACTATTGAGCTGCACAAACTTTTATTAAAGCACAATTCTTTAATTTTTATTACCAGGTAACCTTGGCCGGGTGGACCAGGTCTCTGAGTTTGAATACGATCTCTTCATTAGGCCTGATACCTGTAATCCACGCTTCCGTGTCTGGTTCAACTTTACTGTTGAAAATGTGAGAGAATCACAGGTGAGGAATATCATGGGGTGTGTTAAGTGTGGTTTTGGTAAGAAGAATATGCTTTTGTTTTCTTTAAGGAAGATAAAAATAATGGCAGTATTAGTAATATATTCTTGTTACCTATTACCAATGGTAGTTTTGTTTCAATAGACAGAGGAATAGGTACACTTTGGTAACTTTTATTGTTTGATGTTATTATAGAAACATTTTATCTGAGATGAAAGTGTTCTTTACTTATTAGAGTACCAGTGTGATATGCCAGGTTTCTTTGGGGGACATTACAAGGAAATACTGGGAGTGACTTGCTGTTGTGTTTATATAGTGTACTGTTCTAGTTTTTAAATCCTTTAAAGACCTGTAAGAGATGTTTCAGTCACAGAAAGAGCTTTTCTTTGATTGTATGGTAGGTGTTTATATCTTTTAACCATATGATTCTTGTAACTGATCCTCTTTTACTTTTGTTTGGCTGGTAGGAAACTCAAAGCCAATTTATAGCCCTCTGGAAAACATTTTATTTGTGTTGCTGTGTATTAATTTTTCTTTGCTTTCAAATGAATTCAACTCCCTTTAATTGTGATTTCTTTAGCTACATTTTCTACCTGTATGTTTTTTTAATCCTTTTCAGATCATGTTTTAGATGAAAGTATTGATGAAAATAGAGAACAAAATATGTATGCTTTGAGTTAACATTAATAAAAATTGTATCCTAAGAAAACAATGATTATTCTGTTATCTTGAGACAGTTGTTCATGGAAAACTCTGCATAAGCTCCATATTCATAGCGATAATATGATTCTCTTAGGTAGTCCTGTAAAGCAATGTCTGCCTTTTCCTTGCAGGTCACTTTTTTTTTTTTCCTTTTTTAGTATATTTAGGGAGAAGATAAGGAGCTTATTTAATTTTTTCTCTTGATTCAGTCTTTCCTGCTTGGACTTTCACCTGGTTGTTTGCTTCTGTCTGTTTTTCTTTGCTACGAAAGGCCGGATATCAGATGGTGGTCATTGTCTGAAGTTTAGGAACTGTGAATCTCTCTTGACACAATACTGTTCCTGGCATGTTGGCTTCAGCAAAATAAGAGTGCAGGGATAGACACTTCACTATAGATTGTCTTAATTCTGTACACCACTACCACCCCAGGACTGAGTTCATAGAATGTTTACAGAAGTATTGGGGCTAACTGGAAGGAATAAAACATGGAGGACCCTAAACATTGTTTAGTAAATTTCACTAATCTCAGAATTTTAAAACAAAGGGGAGAAAAAAAAGAGTTAAACCTCATGCAAAGAACCCCTCAAAGATAAACTTTCTTTTTTTTTTTGCTGTCTTATAACAGAGTTCTTATTTTCAGTTTTTTGCAGTAATAATAATCATACTCCTCTCCTTCGGCTTTAGGAAGACTTACCTGCCTGAGGGGATTGACCTTTCTGTTCCACAAAGACAATCAATAGTCCTGAAAGTCTATTCCCAAAGTCTGTGTTACTGACTCTCGAGAGTTTAACTCACAAGAGGCATTCACCACGTATATTAGACTAAATTTTGGCATTTCAAATCTGGGTCCCCCAAGGTTCTCTCTCTGTTGCCATGAGTAAACATAGCAACCTGTTTTGTTACTTTCTTATGTTGGTAACTGTGGTTATCATAGTCATACACCTCTGAAGAACAATTCTGGAACAATTTAGTCAATTCTTATGAAGAAAAAACATATTTTCTTTTTTTTTTTTTTTGATTTTTTAAAAATTTATTTGGGCCAGTGTCGCGGCTCACTTGGCTAATCCTCTGCCTGCGGCATTGGCACCCCAGGTTCTAGTCCCGGTTGGGGTGCCGGATTCTGTCCTGGTTGCTCTTCTTCCAGTTCTGCTCTCTGCTGAGGCCCAGGAAGGCAGTGGAGGATGGCCCAAGTCCTTGGGCCCTGCACCTGCATGGGAGACTAGGAGGAAGCACCTGGCTCCTGGCTTCGGATCGCAGAGCACCGGCCATTAAGGGGGTTAGCCAACGGAAAAGGGAAGACCTTTCTCTCTGTCTCTCTCTCTCACTGTCTAACTCTACCTGTCCAAAAAAAAAAAAAAATATATTTATTTGATAGGTAGAGTTACAGACAGTGAGAGAGAGAGAGAGAGAGAGAGAGAGAGAGAGAGAAAGTTCTTTCTTCAGTTGGTTCTCTCCCCAAATGGCCACTAAGGCCGGCGATGCACCCATCTAAAGCCGGGAGCCAGGTGCTTCTTTCTGGTCTCCCATGTGGGTGCATGGATCCAAGCACTTGGGCCATCTTCCACTGCTTTCCCAGGCCACAGCAGGGAAGAGGATCAAATGGGACTAGAACTGGCGCCCATTGAATGATAGTGCCCACAGGTGGAGGACTAACTGAGTGTGCCACAGCGCCGGCCCCTGGACGCATTTTCTTAAAAATAGTATAAACTGCCATATTTTCTAATCCATATAAGGGGTTTTGCTTTTCCTCTGCTTGTACAATATATGTACATCCTTTAGCTTGTTTACTGAATCCAGAAACCTAATAACATAAGAAATGGAGTTGATTACTTTTCAAACAACAGAATCATCTATTTTCTTTACATCTTTTGCTAAATAGAGACTTAACAGAAGATTAAAAATTATACTTTTTAAGCTTTGGTTTACATTAAATTCTTGACCTTTTTTTTTGTTTGTTTTATTTTGTTTCATTTTTGTTTTTCTGTCTTTCCTTTAGTGTCTATAAAGCTTGCATAGCTTATACAAGTCAGGAATAGAGTTGAAGTGTGAGATGACCAGAGAATTAGGAAAGAAGTGTTCCTTCAGTTATACCTTTGAGAGCAGTTGCTCATATATTTTCGAGTTTCTTGTTTGTTCTTCTAAAGTTATGTTCTTTTGGCTGTTTAAAATGTTTCTACTAAAGTCTTTACAATATCTTTACATCTGAAAACTGTATCTTGTCTATCAATAAAATAAGTAAAATAAATGTATTCCAAGGGGTTGTTCTAATAAGAGAGTTGAGAATGTTAAATGGATGCTTATTTTTAAAGATATTAGAATCAATATTTTCTTTGTAAATTCTGTCTACATATCCATTGCTATCCTGCTTTTGTTACATTTGGAAGTAAAAAAAAAAAAGTTTATCTGGTTTCCTGGAGCCTGATACTTTATCAGCCTCTTTCTGTGGGCCATTGTCTCATCCACTATAATCACATTATATAGTTATGGAAATCTGTTTCAAGAAGGCATAAAGATCTACTGCAAAGATACAATATATATCCCTAGCTCACAGGATATTTGTTTTCATGGTTATCTACATGAAAGAGAATAGTGTTACTATTAAGTTTGACTTGTAAGGTCTGCTTTGATAATGTCTTCCTATAATCTTTTCCATCTTTCCAATTTCCATTAAAACGAGAGTTGTATGAATGTAATCTAGTCAAGAACCACTTTTAGAGCTTGGTACTAGTAGACAAAAACAGTATTAGTTATCACAGGCTGACTCTGTTAAATGAATGTTAAAAATTACAGCATTAAATATACTGTTTGTTTAAACAGGTTTAGCTTTTGGGTTATTTGCCTTGATTTTTTATAATGCGATCAAAGCCTTGAACATAGAAATGTATCCCAGAACTGTTAACCCCTAAAAGTAGTTTCTAAATAGTGTATTTACAAGAGTCCATGAAAATTAAATGTCCTGGTACTTTCATGGAAAAGTAAATTTCTCTCTGTAAAATTGATATTAAATATTCTTATGTGAGAATTTATTATTGATACACTTGTGTGATGTGAAAGCAAATCTTCCTATTTAAATACTTATGATAAAACCTCAGCCAATAAAAGGAAATAAAATTGTATTCCTGGACTATTTAAAATCTTTTACATTATTTTTATATCTCTAAATTTATCCTTCTCATTTCTGATAAGGTAACCAATGCTCAATGTAGTAAATATGACAAATATGATTATTACAAACAGAAAAAGCTGTACACATCATCTTACAAACTGGAAACAAATATTGTTAATTTTTGGCATATTTATTTCTAGGCTTATTTTCTGCTTTATTTTTTAGAGCATTATTAAATTTATATCTTTTTAGAAAGAAGATATAAGCATTTACACAGTCAATTTCTTATTAAAAATTTGATAATGTAACTCTATAATAGCTATTTGGCATTGGGCTGGGACCTTACTTTTGGGCATAAAAATTTTTTTCTATTATATATTGTTATAAATGACAGTGTAGTGAACATTTTTATGTAGGAATGTTAGCCAAATTTTATATTACTTCCTTGGCATAAATATACATGGGAAGAACCGATGAACAAAGAATATGAACATTTTGAAGACTTAACGTATATTTATAAATTGCCATGAGGAAGGTTATACTGTTTTGCTATCAGTAGTGAATGAGATTTCCTTCCTTGAATTTCTGGCTTTGTATTGTTTTATGAACTCACATGTTCATATATCCATAATAAACTATTTTTTTTCCTCACTTACTTGAAGCTTTGCCCAAATAAATGGGATATGATACAATGTCTCAGGCCTCTAGCCATAAAGAAATTAATTGTATCCCCAGAATAACATGGGACAATAAAAAACATCCATACATTATTTTGTCTTGTTTCTTCAATTCATCAATTCTGTTTTGCCTGGGTATCCTCTGAGGTATGTGACAGGAGATAAAAACTAGAATTATTTTATAATAACAAGATATTTCTAAACCCTCCTGCCTTGGCAGGTCTGCACCAAATGATTTTACAAGCCCTCTATGGTCCACAAGCCAGATATTCCCTACTCTTGTGTTACTATCTGTAAAGCAAAAGTGAAGATACCACTATGTAAGGATATTGCCATATTTAAATAATTCAATGTATGTAAAAGTGACTTGCATGGTATTTGCTAGATAATAGGAGCTCAATAGGTGATGGCTATTGTTTTTTTATTTTTTTATTTTATTTTTTTAAAGATTTATTTATTTATTTAAAAGCCAGAGTTACATAGAGAGAGAAAGAGAGGCAGGGAGAGAGGTCTTCTAT